CAGCCAGGACACAAACCTGCACCAATATGGGATGCTGACACTGTGGATGGGAGCTTATGGCTCAGTGCTGGCCCCTATCCGGGTTATTTATCAGAAATTGGTTAACATCTATAGAAAAGTGTTTGAGGGTAACACACACGAAATGCAACAGAAAGACTTCAATACAAGAGGCTGGGAGAGAATGGAGGAATGTATTTCAAAATACAGGAAATTTACAAAACCACGAACATGGAGTAGGAACTTTCCCATCTGAATATATAATCAAGGGACCTTTCTAAGGAATGGTAGGAGTCTGGAGAAATGTCATTTGACAAAGTTCCACAAACACCAAACGGGGGGGTGGGTAAAGACGCAGCTGCTTCCGTCAATGGTTGAACACATCAGGCCAGCTTCTAGATACGCTTCTAGGTACTGAGACTGGCGTGGCCTCACCCAGTCACGGCTGATGCACCTGACAAAGCGGTCAATATTTACCAGCCGCGAGCGTTGTTTTCAGAACTCTGTTTGACTCACGTCTTCAGAAAGCCCCGTGTCGATTTCGCTCACGTGCAAATAGTTAAGTACCTGTTAGTAACCAGGCACTGAGGTGGTTGTTGAAGATTAACAGGTAAAAGGCTTGCCCTCCTGGAAACTCAGGACTAGTGTATCTTTGTGAATTTTAAAGAACTTTACTGCATTTTTTTTTTAACAGAAAGACGTGAAGGGTTCTAAATGACCTGTGCTTAAAATATTCCCTGCTCTCTACCTGAAGCAGCTCCAACATGACCTCTCCTCGCGTGTCACCATGCAAAGATAAAGCACAAAAGCCGATTTGTTCCGCATATTGCAGTGGAAAGGAAAGAAAAATTTATAAGCAAACAAGACAATTTAAGTGATTAAGTGCTGAGAAGAAAAAAAATAAAGCGAAGTCTGGTGGTACACAACTATTTTAAGTTCATGGAAAGAGGAATTAAAAGGTAAATTAATTTGGGTCGGTAAACGTGGGCATGGCTGGGTAGATCAGCACACGGGGCAGGGGTGAGGGGGGCGGGTTGCAGGGATGCCACTCGTCTGGGTTAGGCTGTCACTATAGAGGTAGTTTTTTCCAGACCCGTCTCGGCACCCACAAGGAGTCATGACAGCTGTGGCTGCACATAAGGACTTGACTTTACTAACGTTTCTCTTGCTGTGGGTACCTGGAGCAGCAGGGACACCAGCAACCCATGCCAGGGTGCCTGGTTTGAGTCCTGGCTGCTCCACTTCCAATCTAGCTTCCTGCAAGTGTGCGCCAGGGAGATGGCAGTGCTAGGTGAAGTGCTTGGGTTCCTACCTTCCAAGGGGGAGACCCAGACTGGGTTCCAGACTCTTGACTTCATCCTGGGTCAACTGTGGCCTTTGTGAGCACTTGGGGAGCGAGCCAGTGGATGGAGGGTCTCTGTCTATTTCGCTGACTCTTGAATAAAACAAAAATAAACAGAGGCCAGCATTATGGCAGTGTGGGTTGAGCTGTTTCTTGCAATGCTGGCATCCCACATCAGGGATTGGTTCAAGTCCTAGCTGCTCGGCTTCTAACCCAGCTCCTGGTAATTGCGCCTGGGAAAGCAGCAGATGGAGTACCTGGCCTCTGCGTGGCCTCGCCCTGGCTTTGTGGGCATTTTGAGCAGTGAACTGGAAAATGGAAGCTCTTTCTCTCACTTTCAAAAGAATAATGGCCCAGCACAATGGCTCAACTTGCTAATCCTCCAACTTCAAGTGCTGTGATACCATATGGGCACCAGTTCTTGTTCTGGCTGCTCCACCTCCCATACAGCGCCCTGCTTGTGTCCTGGAAAAGCAGCAGAGGATTACCTAAAGCCTAGTGATCCTGTACCCAAGTGCATGGCCTGGAAGAAGTTCCTAGCTTCTGGCTTTGGATCGGCGCAGCTTCAGCTGTTGAGGCACTTAGGGAATAAATCAACGGATGGAAGATATTTCTCTGTGTCTGCTTCTCTCTGCAAATCTGCCTTTCTAATAAAAAACAAAGCTTCTAAAAAAGAATCAGTAGGGCCCGGCACGATAGCATAGTGGTTAAAATCCTCACCTTGCACACGCCGGGATCCCATATGGGTGTCAGTTCTAATCCCGGTGGCCCCACTTCCCGTCTAACTTGCTGCTTGTGACCTGGGAAAGCAGTCGAGGATGGTCCAAAGCTTCAGGACCCTGTACCATGTGGGAGACCTAAAAGAAGCTTCTGGCTCCTGGCTTTGGATTGGCTAAGCTCCAGCCATTGCAGCCAATTGGGGAGTGAATCATCAGACGGAAGATCTTCTTCTCTGTCTCTCCTCCTCTCTGTATATCTGCCTTTCCAACAACAACAACAAAAAGAATCAGTAATTTTTTGAAAATGAAGTAAAATAAAATAATGGAAAAGAAATGTAACATTTCCCTAGTGTTGGTAAAAAAAAAAAAAATCCATCCATGCCAAGGGCTCCTTGGAAGACAATGATAAAGCTTGGCAAAGCATGTCAAAGAGGATCCGGGAGTATGTTGCTGCACCAGGAAGCGAGAATGAGAAACACACCAAATGGCAAAGCAGTGACCTTGAAGGAGTTCCCACTAATCAAATATGAAACACTTGAACATCAACATAAGGGCTGAATTGTAGTTGAATAATTAAAATAGTAACCTACAAATACATGCATATGTGTGTGTATGTATATATGCATTTATTTAAATATATGCACACATGTATATATGTAACCAAATAAAAAGATTTATTACTTTTATTCAAAAGGCAGATTTACAGAGAGAAGATGAAATGGAAGTATTGTCTACCTGTTGGTCCACTTCCCAGGTGGCCACAATGGAGTTGGTCTGATCCAAAGCCAGGAACCAGGAGCTGCTTCCGGGTCTCCCACATGGGTGCAGGGTCCCAAGGCTTTGGGCTGTCCTCGACTGCTTTCCCAGGCCACAAGCAGGGAGCTGGATGGCAAATGACACAGCCAGGATATGAACCAGTATCCAGCACTTGTAAGGATCAGCCACTGAGCCATTGCGCCAGGTCCTCTGGGAAACTTCTGCAAAAGACTAGAGAGGAATTTGGGGGGCTTTCTGGGTCATTTAATTTTTGGGTTATTTATTTAACTTGAGAGTCAGAGTTACAGAGTGAGAGGGAGAGACAAATTTTCTAGCAGCTGATTCACTCCCCAAGGACTGCAATAGCCAGAGCAGGGCTGATCTGAAGACAGTCCTTAGTTTGAAGAGGCTGCAAGAGACTTCACGTCTGTCATTTAAAAAAAATTTTTTGAGATTTATTTATTTTCATTGCAAAGTAAGACATACAGAGAGGAGGAGAGACAGAGAGGAAGATATTCCATTCACTTATTCACTCCCCAAGTGAGTGCAACGGCTGAGCTGAGCCAATCCGAAGCCAGGAGCCAGGAGCTTCTTCCAGGTCTCCCACATGGGTGCAGGTCTCAAGGCTTTGGGCCACCCTCAACTGCTTTCCCAGGCCACAAGCAGGGAGCTGGATGGGAAGTGGAGCTGCCGGGATTAGAACCGGCACCCATATGGGATCCCAGGTGCTTTCAAGGCGAGGACTTTATCCACTAGGCCATCACACCAGGCTCCACATCTGTCATTTTTACAGAATTGCCGCGACCTCCCCTTGTACCACTCCCAGTTAAGTGAGGAGGCAGAGAGATCATCAGGGGAGAATGAGAGTGTGTGCACAGGGGAGGGAGACTGGCACCTGCTACTCTGCTGAGCTCTTTGCCCACAGGGTGAAGTTTCTGGCTCTGTGCTTCTTCCAAGTGAGCAAGGAGAAGACCTGGAGACAGCTGGCGGGGCAGAAATGTGGCCAAGTAGGCAGAGGAGCAGCGACTCTTCCGCCTCCGGGGGTCCCAAAGGAAGGGACATGGGGCTTGATAAGCGCTGATGGACTGAGCAGGACTTGCAGCCTCTAGCACCCTGCAGGGACACCCAGCCAGCTGGGGAAGAGGTCAAGCTCCCAAGTCAGTGAACGTGGTCAGTGAGAGGCCGCTGGGCTCTGCCATCAGGCCCTGACAGACAGCCCGTTGGTGGTCTGCCGGGCTGCGGTTGGCCACCACCCACAGAGCCCCATCGGCAAGCAGTATCACTCTGAGGCGAGGAAGGGTGACTGGCCACGAAAGGACAGCCCCTGCTCCTCTCTGTGCTGTAGCCCGTCAACCAGGTCACTGTGGGAAAGGGAAAACTTTTGGTTGAAATGCGACCTGAGTTCTAAAGGGGAGGGAACTTAACTGCTGCAGGTGAGAGCTTCCACAGGGCATGTTCAAGATGCTGAAAGGGAGAAGAGGGAGGCTTCGTGTGCACTGGGGGACAGGATTGCTGGAGAGAAGTCTAGTGCTACTGTCTCCTGGGTGGAGAGTATTTGAAAAGGCAGTGACGCAACGAGCTGTTCCATAGTGGTGAAGGTGTCTCCTGCAATGCCCACAGCCCGTGTTGGAACGTCTGGATTGAAGACCTGCCTCCATGCCCCAATCTGACTTGACTGCAGTGTGCACCCTGGGAGGCAGTGGTGACTGTTCAAGCGCTTGGGTCAGTGTTATCCCTGTAGGGGATCTGGCTGGAGTCCCGGGCTTCTGGCTTAAGCCTGACTCAGTAGGAGCTGTTGGAGGCATTTGCTTGGGGGCGGGCAAACCAGTGGATGGGATCTCTCTGTCTCTGAATCTTTCAAAGAAACAACAGGGACTCAGCACGGTAGCCTAGCGGCTAAAATCCTCGCCTTGAAAGCACTGGGATCCCATATAGGCACCAGTTCCCATCCAGCTCCCTGCTTGTGGCCTGGGAGAGCAGTCGAGGGCGGCCCAAAGCCTTGGGATCCTGCACCTGCGTGGGAGACCCAGAAGAGGCTGCTGGCTTCAGATTCGGTGCAGCTCTGGCTGTTGCAGTCACTTGGGGAGTGAATCATCGGATGCAAGATCTTCCTCTCTGTCTCTCCTCCTCTCTGTCTCTCTGACTTTGCAATAAAAATAAACCATCTTAAGAGACAACAATAAAAAAAAAAATTTAGGACCAATGATCACCAACTGCCCAGAAGTCAATAAATTGTTTCCAAAATCTCTTGATGTCGATCCCGCATGAAGAGCAAGCAGAGCCGCCCTACGTGTACCACTCACAACAGAAGCCCTTATTAGAAAAAATATTTTAAAAGACAAGTAAGTACGCAGCAAGAGCAGTTTGCCAGCCCTGTCCATTTACTTCGCATTTTCGATCGCAGTCCCAGAGATAAGAATTCAAATGCACATGTTCCTCTTTGATGAAAAACATCTGACTCGTTTTTTTAAAATAAAAAAAGGCTGGAATGGTGCAGGTGTTTGGCGTTCATGGTTAAGATGCCCGCTGACCCGTCGGAGAACCTGGCTGTGTTATCCGGTGCGGGGTCCTAATGCCAGCTTCCCTCCGTGGCACACATCAGAAGGCAGTGGCCATGGCTCGAGGAAATGGGCTCCTGCCACCTGCACGGGCCACCTGGATCGAGTCCCTGCTCTCTGCCCTCTGCTTCCTCAGCCTCCATCAAGTCTTGTCTGTTGAGGTATCCGGGGAGTGAACCAGCGGATAGGAGCTAGCTCTGTCTCTGCTTTTCAAATACATTTTTAAAAAAAGCTGGATTAGTTCATCTTTCACTCTGCTTGGTTGCATGGTTGCCTTTAAGCATTCCACCATTGGCTATGGAATCAGGAAGACCCTGGTTTGACATCTGCGTTCGTTGGACTTGTACATGAAACGTCTTTCCTCACAGCTCAGTGTAAAGCGGAAGACATGGATGCCCCATATGGGCGCTGGTTCTAATCCCAGCAGCCCTGCTTCCCATCCAGCTCCCTGCCTGTGGCCTGGGAGAGCAGCAGAGGACGGGCCAAGGCTTTGGGACCCTGCTCCCGAGACCCGGAAGAGGCTCCTGGCTTCGGATCGGCATAGCATCGGCCGTTGCGCTCACTTGGGGAGTGAATCATCGGACGGAAGATCTTCCTCTCTATCTCTCCTCTCTGTATATCTGCCTTTCCAATAAAAATTAAATAAATCTTTTAAAAAATGAATTGAAATGATTTACAACATTTTCACAATGCCAGGTAAATCTCTCTGAAGGCAAAAGCTTAACAAATGTGTACGCATGACCTCGGCAATATGGACGAATGACAAGGTCCGCAGACATGCACAATCTACGGCCGCTAACATGGGGGTTCTGTCTCCCCCAGATTCCACAGCAGGTTAGGGAGAAATTTTTGCACCCAAAATGACCGGGGACCCTTCAGCGCTTAATGAATGAGAGGGAGCGGTGAGTCATCCCATTCAAGCATTCATTATATAACCTTCCGAGTGCTCACGTGAGCTCTGTACTAGGATGAACAAAAACCTTGGGCCCCAGCCCTGCCTGATGGGGCACGCGAGTTTCAAAGGACAGAGACCTGGAAAAATTCCCCCACCTATAGAACCGTTATACTCAGGAGACGTCGGCCCCAACAGGTGTGTGACACACAGCCAGGCACGCCACGGGGCGCAGTTACGACCTATAGTCTTCACCTCGTCTCCCGGGCGGCATCACGCAGGACACAAAGGAGGGTGTGTGACCTCAGCAGCCTTGGTAACTGGAATGTGGGAGCGGGCGTTGACCCACAGAATCCACACAGGACCACAGGTCAGAAGTGTCCCAGCATGGTGCTCAGCTGGGTATGGCCTGGCATCAGACCACGGGAGAGAAACCAGCCAACTGCGTCTGGAGGAGGCAGTGCCACTTACATGGTCGCCAAACCCAGACGCTTCAAGAGTAGTGAGACGATGTAGCGGTCGGAGTTCCCGCGTCCCTGTTTCTTTTGTTTTCTCTCTCTTTGAATTCTTCAGGACTCCTTCCCTGCACCCTCATCCCAAGGGATCGAAACAAATATGCATTTTTGGAGCTGTTATATTTGCCTCATCGCTGTCCAAGTTATCATCATTGTCACAATGCTGTATAACACGCAGCTATTCTGGCCGCAGGGCGACGCTCAGGTGGAAGAGGGGACCAAAGTGGAGCTCATCGTGTCCCTAGACCAAGCCTGCAAGGCAGCCCTGGAGGGGAGGATGGTCCAGGAGTGGCCGAACACCTTGTCCACCAGCTTTGGATTAGATTCCTGCCCTTACTACGTCATGGAAAACCACTACATCACAGCTCCCCTGTCTCCAGAAGAAGCCGCCTTCCCTCTAGCGTATGCCATGGCCATCAGCGAAGACTTTGAAACGTTTGAACGGCTCTTCCGAGCCATTTACATGCCCCAAAACGTCTACTGCGTCCACATAGATAAGGCGGCCCCCCTGCTGTTTAAAATGTCTGTGATCGAATTGCTGGGCTGCTTCTCCAACACCTTTCTGTCCTCGCAGTCGGAGTACGTTATTCACGGGGGCATATCCCGGCTGCAGGCGGTGCTGGCCTGCATGAAAGACCTCTTAGGGTCCCAAGTCCAGTGGCGCTACGTCATCAACACGTGTGGCCACGATTTCCCCTTGAAAACCAACCGCGAGATCGTGCGTTATTTGAAATCCCTGAAGGGGCAGAACGTGACCCCGCGGATGCTGCCCGTGCACAAGCTGGCCACGAGGGTCAGGTACGTGCACAGGCCGCACAGGACGCGTTCCCACGCTTTCCTCCGCCAGAGACGCTTGAGGAAGAGCCCGCCCCCCGAAGAGCTGCAGCTCCACTTCGGCTCCATGTACGTGGCCCTCACAAGGAAGTTCGTTCATTTCGCGCTTTTTGACAAGAGAGCCACTGACTTGCTCTCCTGGTCCCAAGACACCTACGGCCCCGACGAACACTTCTGGATTACACTCAACAAGCTCCCCGGTGAGTGCGGCTGCCTGTCCTGTGGCTTGTTGGCCTGCCAACTTTTATTTTTTTTCAGTCAAAGCACTGTTGGGAGTGTGGGTTTAAGCCCGCGTGTTATCAAAAGCCGTCTTCCCAAGGAAGAACTGTGGGTTTGGGCCCAGCCTCTGTGCACGGGCAGTACAAATGAACAAAAGTCTCATGGCCTTTTTTAGCTGTTTCTCCTGCGGGTGAGGGTATGGCGGTGCAGTGGATTAAGCCACCGTTTACAACGCCCATATTCCACATCAGAGGGCCCGGTTCAAGTCCCTGCTGCTCTGCTCTCCATCCAGCTCCCTTCTAAAGATCCTGGGAAGGCAGTCCTTGGCCGCAGCACAGGACGGGCTTCCAGGCTCCTGGGGGTACCAGTCATCCAACCCTCGCTCTTGTGGTCATTCATAATGGGAACCAGCAAATGGAAGATCTCTCTCTCTCTCACTGTAGCTCTGCCTTTTAAATAAATATTTTTTTTTAAAAGAAAGTTTTTTGTTTTTTTTTTTTTTTTTTTAATTTTTACAGAGAGAAGAGGCAGCAGTGCATGTGCTGGTTCACTCTGCAGGTGACTGCACTAGCAGGAGCTGAGTTGATCTGAAGGTGGGAGCCTGGAGCTTCTTCCTGCTCTCCCACAGGGCTGCAGGGCCCAAGGATGCTTTCCTGGGTCAAAATCAGAGAGCTGGATTAGAAGTGGGGCAGCCAGGGTTAGAACCCAGGGCCCAATTGAGGTGCTGGCACCATAGAGGGAGGCTCAGCATGCTGGCACCGTGCCATCCCTGAAGCTCTTTGATAAAAGTGGAGAGCTTTCTGAGCAGGGTTAAGTAGCAGCACATAATGGGACGAAGCCAACTGGAGACGCTCCTTTCTGAGAGCCTCTGAAAGTGCCAGTCAGCTAGATTTCTCCAGGGGGTGGAAGGTGGAAATTCCCGGATACACAAAACCAATCTGCCCCACTTCCCGACACCAGTTGAGAGGAGCGCTCTTGAAGCAGCCGCAGTAACGTGTGCCTGCTTTGCTCTCTCTCTCACACACACACACACACACACACACACACGCACGCACACAGCAAAGCTAAATCAGAAATCTTGCAGATAAGGTGATTTTAAAACGACCTACTAAAAATCTCTAGCAAAATTCCGTTTATTTGAGAGAATCGGGGGGACAGAGCGAGTTGCTATCCACTAGTTCACTCCCCAAAGGTCTGTCACTGGCTGGGACAAATCTAAGAGGCAAGACTCCAACCCATGTCACCCTCCGGACTGACAAGATCCCAACTACCTGAACCATCACCTACCGCCCGCTAAGTTTTGCAGTGGCAGGAAGCTGGGGCTCGATGCCGCACGGTGGGCGTGGAACCCAGGCACTGACATGCACAACACGGGCATGGTCATGGCTAGGCCAGGTGTTTATCCTCAAATGTGTTTTATCTCAGAAGCATCCTATTAAAGCCTGTAATGGGGGCTAGTGCTGCGGCCCAGAGGAGTAAGCTGCTGTGTGCGTGCTGCCAGCACCCCATAGCGGAGTGCTGCTCCACTTCCCCTCCAGCCCCTTGAAGATGCGCCTGGGAAAGCAGCAGAAGACAGATGGCCCACGTGCTTGGGGCCCCATGCAGCTCTGGACTCCTGGCTTCAGCCTGGTCCAATCAGGGCGATCGTTGACACCCGGAGAGTGGAGTGATGAAGGAAAGGCCACTTGTCTCTTCCTTTCCCTCTCTGTCACTGTCAAATAAGTAAGTGAATCTTAAATATACATGTGTATCATGTCTATAAAAGATGCCTGGGGCCTAGCGCAGTAGCCTGGTGGCTAAAGTCCTCGCGAAGATCCCATATGGGTTCCGGTTTGTACCCCAGCCGCTTTGCTTCCCATCCAGCTCCCTGCTTGTGGCCTGGAAAGGCAGTTGACGATGGCCCAGAGCCTTGAGAGACCGTGCCTACGTGGGAGACTCGGAGGACACTCCTGGCTCCTGGCTTCAGATCAGCTCAGCTCTAGCCATTGTGAGCACTTGGGAGTGAACCAATGGATGGAAGATCTTTCTCTCTGTCTCTCCTTCACTCTGTAAATCTGACTTTCCAATAAAAATAAATATTTTTTTAAAAAGATGCCTGTTATCAGTCTTACACTCAAAATTGTAAAGGAAGTGTAGACATCAAAGGGAAAAAAAGTTCAAGTAATGGAAAAGAAATCTTCTCTGTCCAAAGTAGAAATGTTGGCAGGGAGGGAAGACACAGCATGTTAACGCAAAGTTGCCTCTACTGCGAAGAGAAAGTTTCTTCCAGTTACACCGAGCTCCAAGCAGTGCCATCAGCAATCGGCAATGTCCTCTGCTGGCTGTTTTTCTTCATATTCCATCCAACTCTTTTATTTTTTAATTATATATATTTTTATTGCATTTCATTTTATAACAATGTTTCATAGGCTCCGATGTTCCCCCATCCCCTCTCCGTGCCCTCCCCCCATGGTGGATTGCTCCACCTTATTGCAGTATTACAGTTCAAATCCAGTCTTATTTCTTTTCATTGCAGGCATGTGCCATGCATAGAGTCCAGCATCTTATTGTCCAGATCAATTCAACAGTTTCTTGTGGAGACCAACTCTGGTCTGAAGGCAGAGCTGGCAGAATATCGTTCTGATCAATTAAAAGCCATAACTTAACATCAACAACAGTTTCAACATTATGGGGTAAATTAACATGGTATTGAGTGACTGATAAGTTAGAAAATGCAGGTTCTTAATCACATCTTGTGACTACTTCATTAACATTTCAATTTTAGTTTGTATACAACTGGCTTTTTTTTTTTAAGATTTATTTTTATTACAAAGTCAGATATATAGAGAGGAGGAGAGACAGGAAGATCTTCCATCCGATGATTCACTCCCCAAGTGAGTGCAACGGGCTGGTGCTGTGTCAATCTGAAGCCGGGAACCAGGAAACCTCTTCCAGGTCTCCCACACAGGTGCCGGGTCCCAAGGTTTTGGGCCGTCCTCAACTGCTTTCCCAGGCCACAAGCAGGGAGCTGGATGGGAAGTGGAGCTGTTGGGATTAGAACCAGCGCCCATATGGGATCCTGGTTCAAGGTGAGGACTTTAGCCGCTAGGCCACGCTGCCAGGCCCAACTGGCTTCTATCTACTTTAAAATGGCTATAGCATACTATTCAGCTGTCTCATGTCTATTTTCATTTTAATATTTAGCAGTTTATTGAAGCGTAATTTTTACTGAGCTTGGCAGATTTTAGGATAGTCTATACTGGCTTATGGCTTTAACAAGGCATATGTCACCAGTTGAGGCATAGAACACTGTTGGGAGGGGTGTGCAGAGAAATCCTCCATATCCTAGTTAGGAGTAATTCATTCTTGGGTCCTACCTAGTAAGGTATGTGTGAGTCCCCCCTGATCGTTTCCTGTCTAGTTCTAAGCTTTCCTTGTTGTTCTCTGTCTATTCCAATTTTTTGTTGTTGTTTGTTTTGTTTTGGGGGGAACTCCGGGGCGACCCTGATGGTCATTGCAAGAGAGGGTGGGGATCCAGTGTTGGAACTAAGTAAGGTCCAGAGAAAGCTCCTGTCCCTGGTCTTGAAGAGAGTTTATTATTCTTCTGTTTCTGTAGTCCGCTCAGGGCTCCTGGCTGTTGTCCCAATGACATTAGGCCCTGTGAGGAGGGATTTGGATTTCTTCTATCCCATGTGGGAGATTCAAATGGGAGTGGGTGACCTCAGAGTTCTTGGCCTCCGAAGGCACTCCGATTCCCCATGGTCTCGTTGGCAGTTGGGATGTAATCCTTGGTGTCTGTATTGGTAGTCCTTGGTGAGGATCCGGGAGTCTCCAGGGTTGGGATACAAGCTTCCTCCTGTCCCCCTGCTCCACTCTGGGGTCCCCCTTGCTCTGTGCATGTGACCTCCTGTTAAGAGGTTGTCAGGATCGCTCCTGATATCCCCCATGTCTTTGTGGTTTTACTATTGTCTAATGCTGATTTGAGGCTGTTGTCTATAGGCTACATGTTATGTTATGTTCCTGTTATGTTCCTGATAGGCTATGCTTTACATCTGCCTCACACATTCTAGGGAGATGGAAGATTTCTCTGCTCTCCCTGCCCCACTACTGAGAAGCATAGGGTCTTAAAGGTGCATTCAGTTCTACAGTTCTTTGGTGTAGATCATGAGCAGTCTGCCTCACATTGATGGTTCATTGATTACATCATAATATGTTGTTGTTAGAGGTTGAAATAATATTAATTTTACAGGTACCATTGTTCAGATTGACAGCATTTCAACTGAAATTAAGGCAAACATGTGGTATCTAACCTTTCGGGATTGGCTCATTTCCCTTAGCATAATGGTTTCCAGTTGGGCCCATTTGGCCACAAAGAATTGCATTTTGTTTTGTTTTTTTTGTTTGTTTGTTTTTGTTTTTTAATAGGTGAGCAGTATTCCATGGTGTAAATGAACCATAGCTTTCTCATCCAATCTTCTGTTGATGGGCATTTCGGTTGCTTCCAAGTTTTTGCAATTATTGATTGTGCTGCTATGAACACGGGGGGTGCATGTAGGTTTCTCGTGCAGCAGGTGTTTGGATATATTCAACTCTTTTATTTTTAAACACAATTAACATTTGAAGGAAAGGACACCACACTTCTACTCAGTGAAGACATATGCATTTAGAGGGCTTTTTCCGTGTTATCTTTATAGCCTTTGCACCATGGACTCCTAAGGCGTCAGTCCCAGTGTTGGATGAGGCAGGCTTCACTGGGCAGAGCAGGCTGGGCTGCAGCTCCCTTCTCCCTGGCTTCCCTGGGTCCCATGGGTTTTCATTCATGGTTTTCTGCATGCCAGCTCTGCTCTTAGCATGCTTAACGTACTCAAACATGCGCACTCCTTCTCGTGGTGAGAGAATCCATTCCTTGTGTTTATAACAGCAGCAGCAAGCTGGGTTAAGCTGGGACTCTGCTGTGTTGCCATGGGAATGTTAATGGGCATTCTGTTTTGAAAGTACCCAT